TCTCCATATGCACATATAGGCACTTGTCTCCATACAGATAAATTCTGTCTCTCACATATAAATAAATAAAGTTGGGCAGTGGTGGTGCATGCCTTTAATCTCAGCACTCAGGAGGCAGAGGCAGGAGGATCTCTGTGAGTGCAAGGCCAGCCTGGCCTGCAGATCAGGTTTCAGGACAGCCTCCAAAAACCACAGAGAAACTGTCTTGAAAAACAAAACAAAACAAAAACAAACAAAAAACAAGTAAAGTCTCTTTTTTAAAAGATATCTTAGAAATATCTAAAGTGAGGTAGGCTTGTAGTGTGTGTCTTTAATTCTAGCCCTTGAAGGCAGAAACAAGCTGATCTCAGTGATTTTAAGGCCAACCTAGACTATATGCCTGGTTCCAGGCCAACCATGGCTGCATAAGGGAGTCCCTTTCTCAAAAAAGCACAGAAAGAAAAGTATGTGAGATGTGTGTAACTATGTGTGTACATGCATGTATATGAAGGGTTCTCATAACAAATGCATCTGGATTAGGTTGGGCACAAAGAGGAAGTTGATTTGTGAGATATTTGGGGCATTTTGTAGAAACCAAGATCCAGGAAGTGCTGCTGGGCCCCTGGAGGGGTTGGGGCCAGGCTGTGGAACAAGACACTGCCTGAGAGCCCACTCTACACCTTCTGCCCTGCTCCTCGGTGCCCTTCAGTGCCTGGGCTTGCACTTCACTATCTACAAGTTCTGTCAGAAAGCAGAGACTGTCTTCAGCTGCTCGCTCTGCCTGGGCAGGGCTAAGCGACCACATTAGACTCAAATATTGATGGTAAGAGGAGTGTGTGAGCGTGCCTCTAGGGCCACACCGTGGGTGTGCATGGCACAGTTAGACGAGATGGCACCATAAGCAGAATGTGCCACAGACAAAGCCAGAAGTGAAAGTAAGAGAGCTCGTGTACTGGAGGAGCCTCGAGCAACTGGTAAATTCAGCTCAGGCCCTGCAACTCCCAGGCTTGCAGAGACTAAGGAAAGATGGCTAACTGCTGACACGTCTGCTTCCTTATGATTTGGAAATGGTTGGGGCCATATCGTATAGCAAGTTCATTATCCTGTATTTAATACAATTAAGACCTCATTATATGGTGTGTGTGTGTGTGTGTGTGTGTGGTTTGTCTAGACACGGTTTCTCTATGTAACAGCCCTAGCTGTTCTGGAACTTGCTCTGCAGACCAGGCTGGCCTTGAACTCAGAGATCTGCCTGCCTCTGCCTCCTGAGTGCTGGGATCAAAGACATGTGCCCCTACTGCCCTGCAGAGCTTGCTGTTTTTTAATATTAAGTGTGACACTTGGCTTCATGTCATTTTTGCTTCATCACCATGTACAGATTTTTGACCAGTGATCTAGATGCTTTTGCAAAGGAATTTTTTAGGTAAAGTTAACATTTTTATTTCTAGTAAGCTTTCACTAAAGCAGGTTACATTGCTATTGGTAATAGTGGTAGTATATTTTCTGTCAAGGCTCACTTTGTAGCCCAGGCTAACCTCAAACTTACAAGAGGCCCACCTGCTGCTTCTTTCTAAGAGCTAGGGTTAAAGGTTGGTGCCACCACTGCCCAGGTATTTATTGTTTATTGTTTGTTTTTAAGACAGGGTTTCTCTGTGTAGCTCTGGCTGTCATAGAACTATAAACCGGGCTAGCCTCAAACTCAGAAATCTGCCTGCCTCAACTGAGATTAAAGGTGTGTGCCACCACTGCCTGGTTTGTTTTTATTTTTTAAATTTGTTATTATTATTGCACTTTTTTTTTTTTACATAACTTTATATGTCTTTCTACATAACTTTGGCTGTGCTGGCACTCACTATGTAAACCAATCTGGCCCTGAACTCACAGAGATCTAATTGCCTTGTCTCCTAAGTTCTGGGATGAAAGGCATATGTCACTACACCTAGCTAAAAAACTGTTTAAGCGTTTATTTATTATGTGTATATGCATGTGCACTAATATGTGTCTGTAGGTGTCAGTTTTCTCCATCTGTGGGTTCCAGGTATTGAACTCAGGAAGTCAGGCTTGCCCTTGGAAAGAGAATTTTGCCACCAGACTCCTTCAGATTTGAGGCACATCTCATTTCTTCTTTGGACCACCATCCCATGGGTTTGGGGCTTATGAGCCCCCACAATGGCTTGAGCTAGCTCCTCGACATAAATCTCTCTATATATGATATCCAGACATCCTCTGTAGGTTATTTCCCTGGAGCATCATGGCTGAAGCAAGTCATAAAACTGTTTAATTCCTACACAGTGCTGTAGAATGAACCAGACCTCACATATGCTAGGCAAGCACTCTACCACTGAGATACCTGTGCTCCCCCCTTTTTAAAATTTTTTCCCTTTTTATTTAAGATCTTTTCTTGCTAATTTACTTTCGTTTAATCTACTTTAAGTAGACCAGACTTACTTTAACTATGTAATCCTCCTGCACCGGCTTCCCATGCAAAATGTTTTTATGTTCCTAAAAGGTGGATTTTACACTGTAGACTTATTACTGTCCTAAATATTAGTTACCTCCATTTAGATAGGAGGAGCCTGAGATGCAAGGATATTATGTGACCACCCCAGAGTCTAGTGCTGAAGACACAGACACAGTCAGCCTAGCTTACAGCCCTGTCTATCTATCAGGTGGACCTATCTTTTCTGGGTTAACTTGTACCTGGTCAGGTAAGGATGTGTATGCTGGTCCCTGCACCTGGGAAGAGGAAAATTCAGAAGCTTTCCACTGCCTTGTGTTCTGGAGAGCCCAAAGCCTGTCTCAGGAAAAAAAAAAAAAAAAAAAAGGAGAAGAAGAAGAAGAAGAAGAAAAAGAAAATGCAGCCTTTATGTGGAAGGAAGAGACAGTCCTGGGCTGTGCCGTATAGCTGGTGTCTTTCCAAGCTAGGGTTCTCTGAGATACCCTGTGGCTTTGCTGTAGCCGTTTCCTCTTCCAATGCAATTTAAGTTGGTCTTTGTGGTTCACATTTGAGACTTCCAATACATGCATTTTGTAATGGCAGGCAGTAGGTCTGCGTCTGTGACCAGTGAGTGCTGTAGACACTGTTCCCACATAGAAACAAAGATAGTGAGCCCCTCTGTGTCTTCCAAGTCTGCAGCATTGTGTGGTGTAAACCATCTTGTGAGTGTTTTGATTTGTGACTCCTTACCCACAGTTCTGTCCTTAGTGTAGACTCCTAGAATTGCCCAGTCACTGTGTATGAGCATGTATATTGTGCATGGGCTCTCACACACTGACATGCTTTCCTTTCCACACAGACCACAACTCTCATTAGCGGGGTGCAAGAACAAGAGAAGTCTGTTCTTAATGTGCCACCATTGCCCTGTTGTGTGATAGGCTGGGCACTTACTAAAATTCACAACAGGTTTTCTTCTTGCTGTCTTTGTCCCATACTGTGATTATTCTCAACTAATTAAATTGTACTTAAAGGGGTTGGAGTGCAATTCATTGATAGAACACTTCATGGCCCTCAGCCATTAGTTCAATCCCTGATGTCTCAAAAAAAAAAAAAAAAAAAAAAAGAATAATTATTTTTAGAGACAGCTTTTGAAATTGCTTTAATTGAAAGTCATTTCATTGGCTCTTTTTGCTCCCTCCCATGGAAGGCACCACAGTGTACCAGACAGTTCTGATCATGTGTGATAAGCAGTCAGGAAAGCGTATCAGGCTGAATAAAACCATTCCGCAGAATAACTGAAGGAAATGTTGACATGGGTTTCCTTGTTATCAAGGCCGTGCAATGAAAAAGTTAACAGTGCTGTGAGATTAAAAGTACCTAAACCAGGCTGGCAGCGCACGCCTGTAATTCCAGTACTCGGTATCTGTCCGTACAGAGTGAGTCTGAGACTGTTCTGGGCTGAATGAGACCCTGTCTCAAGAAAACAAAACCAGCTAACAAATGCATCTGGGAGAGCCAGTGTGGTGGCACATGTCCTGGCCAGGGCAAGGCCCTGGGTTCTTTCCGTCCCTAGTACCATAAGGAAAATATAATTTGTTGGGCATATATTTGTATGCACTTGGAAAATGTAAAGCACTTAATAGTTTGTACTTTTGTTGTGGCCCCCACCCCCTCCTCCTCCACTCTTTTTATAGACAGGCTCTCACTACGTAGCCCAGGCTGGCATCAAACTTCAGCAATCCTCCTGCCTCAGCCTTTTGAGTGCTGAAATTCAACCTCTTTGCACTCTACTCCTCCATCCACTGTTTGTCTTCAGTTTCACTTAGGAACTTGAAGTCATCAGGCCCACCCTACCCAAATACGCTCTCCGCAGGTTACCTGTGGTTTCCACTCATCCTGTTTTCCCTCTAAACACAGGCCCAAAGCCAGCTCTTCCCACCGAGTCCAAGAGCAGCCCGCCAATCACAGAGCCCTGGCTGGCCTGCAGCTCACTATGTAGGCCAGGTTGGCCTCAGACTCCTGCCTCCCTGGTGCTAAAATTGAAGGCGTGTGTCACCATACTTGGTTCCCACCAAAATTCTTCTCAATGGGATTGCCATTTGAAATCTAACGGAAAGCACAGAAGGAGAAAGGGAATTACAAAGTGTTCCTCTCCAACAGGAAGGGAAAACATAATTGCAGATTGCAAATGGCAGCTACTCCTGGGTGGGAGAGAGTGAGAGTGCCAGTCTTCCTCCCGGAAGCCAGAGCTCATGGAGACCGAATAGGGTGGTGGTCTAGAGCTCCTTCACCTTGATTACAGTGCCTCCCACCTGTCCTTCTGGAGCATGGGCAGCAACCAGGTCTGGACAGTCAACCAGACTAAGCCACTTCCCACTAAGGGATGGAGCAACAGGAGCCTTCATTGACTAAGTCATCCTTGCTAAAGCATTAACGTCTGTTGTGTGCCAGCCTAGTCAGGCACTGGGAAGATAAAGGGAAGTAGAAAGCCTACAGTTCTTGATAGGGTTTTATAGCATGGTGATTTTTGTTTTAATTTGCTTGTTTGTATTTGCCTAACTTCATTTCATTTTCTCTCCTCTAGTACCCTCTTATATATGGGCTGATTCTCATTCCCTGCTGGAGTTCTCTGGTTTGCCTAAGTAGAGTCTACATGGGAATGCACTCCATCCTGGTAAGAAAAGAGGGTGTCTATCCTTAATATCTCCTTTTTCTGACAGTGGCAGGAAACTTTGCAAACTTAAGTCAAATAATTATATGATCTGTTGTCACACAGACAAAGCAAAAGTAGCTTGGCAAGGCAGTTTATTTTTGTAAAGAGGGTTCGCCAGAACCCAAACCAGCTACTGACCACTTGGCTTCTTTTCTGACACAGGTGTCTTTTCTTCACTGGCTGGGGCACAATCTCAGTCCTTCTGGATGGGCTAGTCTTAAAATAGGTTCAAAGAAAATGAAGGAAATTGGTGAAGGGGTCAGCCCCTCCAGGCCATCAAGTTTCAAGAATGGGGGAAGGGCTCCGTGTAGACAAGAATTGTACTGGGCGTGGGGAATTAAAAGATTTACATGAAATTCTTACTAGGAGAGAGAGGTTAAGGGAATGTTGGCTCTTGATGAGCAAGCAACTTTAGATAGTGCAGGAAATAACATTTCTCACAAAATCCAAATGAGAAAATAGTTTGTAACAATTCCCCATTTTGCAAAACTATCAGACCTGTGACGCCCTTGATTTCACCTTTCCCTCCGGTGCTGAGTGAGCGTTCCAGAGACGTGAGGAATGTGTAGCCTTTGGGGAGAGGCGTCTCCCCTCTCTTGCCTGCTCTGCTGTCCCATGTTCTACACTCGGTGCAGATGTTCCTTGCAGCCTTTCTTACCTTTCCCTTCTCTTCCCCAGGAGTGGTCAGGTGCCTCTTCCCTTCCGCCTAAACTGGAACTGCCTCTGCCTGTCTGTCTGTCACCCCACGGTGGACTATAAGTTCTTCAGATCTTACCTGTGGGCTTTGTCTCTCCACCCTCAGCATTACATAAGACATTCTAGGGATTTCTTGCATATTAGCTTGTAAATGGAGGATCAAAAAAAGATGGCAAAAGTGAACTAATTAATGAAATCCTAAATTTTCTGATGGGTTATACAGATTTTTGTTGTTGTTGTTATTTTTAGAATGTTTTATTTTAGGGCTCTACTTGGTGCTGCAAACCTGCGATAACGGGGCCTAAAGATGAGGGAGACTGGGGGGGGGGGAACAGAGTGGCTCAGGGCTTTAATCCCCAGCATTGAGGAGGCAGAGGCAGGTGGATCTCTGAGTTCGAAGCCAGCCTGGTCTACAAAGCCAGGCGTGTTACACAGAGAAACTGTATCTGGAAAAACAAACAAAGAAAAAGAAAGAGACTGAAGTCTCGGGCAATAGCCAACTTCATTCAGAGGGTTAGGAAAGGTCAAGTTCAAACTGTGGATAATGGCAAGGACAAGCTACATGTGGCCAAACATGTTTCTCCATAGGGACATATGAATGGAAACAGCTGAAGTAAACTCACTCTTACACGCTACACCTGGGAGGAACACGAAAACACATTCCAAGAGCAATTTGGTGTTTTGAAGAAACTGAGGTCCCAGGACTCTTATATTCTCACAAGCACTTAGTATTCTCACATGACTTCATGTTGGGCCTTGTTGACACGGCTCTACTTAAAGAAACATCTCACTGGCTTATTTCACAGCTATAGAAATACTGCTATTCCCACCACTCTACCTGTTTATAATCAGACTACACTTTTTTTTTTTTTTGAGAGACAGGGTTTCTTTGTGTAGCCCTGGTTATCCTGGAATTAGCTCTGTAAATCAGACTGACCTTAAACTCACAGAGATCCACGCCTTTGCCTCCAAGTGCTGGGACTAAAGGTGTGTGCCATCACCACCTGGCTAGGAACTGAAGCTGGGTCCTGTGCAAGAACATTCTCTTAACCACTTCAACATTTCCACTTTTCCATTCATGAATTGGCAGGCCTAATACTTTATGTATTTCATTTTACTTTATTTTGTTTTTGTTTGTTTCAGTACCAAGGATTAAACCTAGGGACCTCACAAGTAGCCAGGTCAGCCAAGAATTTTTTTAAGACAGCACTCAGACAGGTTGCCCCAGCTGATCTTGAACAACTCCTGTAGCTACAGCTGGCCTTGAACAGTCAGACCTCTACCTTAGCTTACTTAGTCCACCCAAACAGTTGGAACCCTAAGTTGTTTAATTGCTCAGTGACCAGTTTGCCCACAAAGAATATGTAATTTGTCTTATTACAAATAGATATAGGAAGCCAAGTGGTGGAGGCTCATGCCTTTAATTCCAGCACCCTAGAGGCAGAGGTGGAAGGATCTCTGTGAGTTCAAGGCCAGCCTGGTCACTGAGTGAGTTCCAGAACAGCCAAGGCTACACAGAGAAACCTTGTCTGGAAAAAACAAAACAAAAACAGAAGAAAGAGAGAGGGAGGGAGGGAGGGCAGGAAGAAAGGAGTAAGTAAGTACTTATTCAACACCCAACATATTTTGTTATAGATATGAGTCAAAGAATAAACACGTTGTTTTTAATAGGTACTTTCCTAGTCCTCAAAAACATAAAGATTAGTATATGTTCTTTTTTTAATTCTTTTCAGGCATTACCAAACATAACTTTCACATTTAAATTTCCTTTTTTAAAAAAGATTTTATTTATTATGTATACAGTTATCTTCATGCATGCTTGCACACCAGAAGAAGGCTCCAGATCTCATTATAGGTAGTTGTGAGCCACCATGTTGTTAGTAATTGAACTCAGGTCCTCTGGAAGAGCAGCCAGTGTTCTTAACTGCTGAGCCATCTCTTCAGCTCCCACATTTCAGTTTCTTAAAACTTTTTTTTTGTAAAGGTTTATTTGTGTTGGGGTGGTGCTGGAAACTGAACCTAGGTCCTCTGGAAGAGCTGTAAGTGCTCTTGACCACTGAGCCATGTCTCCAGCCCTTGTTTGTTTTAAACCTGTTTTTTTTTTTTTTTTGGATATGGAGTCTTGCTGTAGTGCTCTGGGTGGCCTATAATTCTCTATGTAGCTCAAACTAGCCTCCAACTCACAGTTTAAAAAAAAATAGAAAACACACACAAAACTATTAGAAGACAGAAGACTTTGATTCTAGTCTTAATGTCACAGCTACCTAAAATTGTAATATTTATGTTTTCTTACTAATATTGTTATTTCTAGTCTTCCCTCCAAAGCATAAACTTCATGACTGCATACAGCATCATTTGTTTAAATAATATAGTCTTTTTTTCTGCATGCATGTAAACATCACAATAGCAAACATATTGTACATATTGACTATGAATGTACATACATTGTACATGTAGTTAATGAAAGAGTAGAACTAGAAAAACTGTCCTTTATTAGTAAGTCCTTTCTAATGGCCAGGCTGTTCTGGGGCACACCTTTAATCCTAACACTTGGGAGATAGAGGCAGGCAAATCTCTGAGTTTGAAGCCAACCTGGAACAGTGAGTTCCAGAACAGCTACGGCTACACAGAGAAACCCTATCTCAAACAAACAAATAGAATCCTTTTTATCATAAACAATTTTAGGGCAATGTTTTTTTAAACATTTTATTCTGTTTTGATTTTTAGACAGGGTTTTGTATAACCCTTGAACTTCTGATCTCCTGCCTCTACTTCCCAAGTGCTAGGATTATGGGTAGGCACTACTATGCCTGAGTTCCGCAGTCCTGGGGATCAAGCCTAAGCTTCTTGCATGCTAGGCAAACACTCTACCCACTGGACTACATCCCAGCCCAAGTTTGAGTATGATGATTGATTCTGTGGACTGTTTGTAAGGTTTATTTTTAAGTTAAACACCCAAAATGGCATTATACTAACTGTATTTTTATCTTTTCTAGGATGTTATCGCTGGGTTCCTGTATACCATTTTAATCTTACTTATCTTCTACCCACTTGTGGACCTGATTGACAACTTCAATCAAACTTACAAATATGCTCCGTTCATCATCATCGGTCTCCACTTAGTTTTGGGCATCTTTTCTTTCACTCTTGACACCTGGAGCACATCCCGAGGAGACACGGCTGAGATTCTGGGAAGTGGTGCTGGAATCGCATGTGGTTCTCATGCTACTTATAACCTGGGCCTATTATTAGACCCTTCTCCACACACGTTCCCCTTAGCCAGCCCCCCACTTACTGTAACTCTGTTTGGAAAAGCCATATTACGGGTCGTCATAGGAATGCTGTTTGTACTGATCGTAAGAGATATAATGAAGAAGATCACCATTCCTTTAGCCTGTAAACTCTTCAGTATCCCATGTGATGATATGCGTCAAGCCAGGCAGCACATGGAGGTAGAGCTTCCATACCGGTACATAACCTACGGGATGGTTGGTTTCTCCATCACATTTTTGGTTCCCTACGTATTTTCCTTTATTGGTATCTCTTGATGGAGAAATAGTGTTTATTATAAGAAAGGAGGCTACCAGTTATATCTAAAACTATTCTCCAGGTAAAACTCAGATCAGAGGCTTTTGCAAGAATTTAACTTAAATAAGTAAATTCTGCGGTCAGTGCATTTGATCATTGCACATCCAGATGTTTTAGGTGGGCTGAGCTCCTTCAGTACTAGGAAGTGGTGTGCCCGTTTAGAATGTTCACAAAATGTCTGGAGAGTTCTGTGCTGTTACAAATTGTAGTTATATATAATATATATTAAGGTATACAGTGTGCAAATGTGTATCTAGTATATATATATTATATATATATTTTATATATATATGTAATTATTTGTCTAAGAACTGTGGGGTGTATTGGAAAATCAATAATGATATGCAGTTGTGCCCGCGTTTTTGGAATTAATGCAGGCATGTTGTTATTAACAGATAGGTTTAATGTCTATTTCCTATGAGAGCCATTTCCTAGTTGAATTGATAAATACCAGACAGATTCCATATGCTACCACATACTGATTTACTGCCTCTTTTTACACTGCCATCCCCTTTCATGTTATCCATGATGTTGAACATGGGAGGCATTTTTAATGGACCACGTTTTTTGGAAAAGTTTATATTTTGGATGTCTTTTTTTTTTTCTTTTTTCTTTCCTGCAGCTACCATAGGTGACTTGGTGACTTTTATTTGTGAAGCTCCCAGGCACACCCTAGACACACAATACAAAGGAAAGCAGGAGATGGCCACACAGTCACTAAGGGAAGTCACAAGGCATCTCCTACCCAGTTCAATCCCCATTACACAGGTTCTCTCCTGCTGCAGAAAACCCCTGAAGAGCAAGCAGCCCAACATGTAGCTTAGGCATTAGGGAACCTGCCCTCCCCTCCCCAGGATGAAGAACAGGTCTGGGCCAGCCAAAGTGCTTCTCTGGGTACAAGAGGCAGGGCACCCCAGGCAGTTCCCACTCCTGGGCTATTTGGGGTTGGCCCCTGGCTCCTCTTTTGGGCTGAGGCTGGAGTTTCACTTTTCAATGATAGCCCCACCTGACCGTTCCTTAGGCACAATGGAGACAGCAGGCCACAGTAGCTCCCCAGGCTTTAGTGGGACAGAAAGGCAGGGTAGGCAGGACAGCCAACAGAGCCTATGGCTAAGTTTGCAGTATGTTTAATAACAGCAGCTTTCAGCCCCTTTCCCTGGGCATCATTCCCCACAGTGGACCTGGGTTAGTCCAGCAAGGAGAGATGGTCATCTGCAATCCAGACAGGAAGTAGATACCTACACACACCACACTGACACACATATGTACTCAGGGGACCAACAGGACATAAGGCAAAGACCCTCCCCTGCCTCTGGTCTGTTTTTTGGATTTCTTTCTTTCTTTCTTTTTTTTTTTTTTTTTTTTAATGTTCTGTACACTGTGTTGAATGTACTTTTTTCCCCCTCAATTGTTTTGGTCATCAGTTTAATAATTCAGGTACTGAATTTGATTGTTGCTAACTGTGCCTTTCTTTTGCTGGGTTAAGAGACACCATGTATACTGTGATGTAAAAGTGAGACTCTAATTCTACCTTAAGCTACATAATCAGGCAAATGTTTTAGAAATATATATGTCAACCTAACAGAGATAGAAGCAAATGACCCATAACTCTTTAGTCTTTTTTTTAGGAAGAAATGTGGAATAGTTAAATTTTCTCACTAATTTATTGGGAAGCTAAAAGGATAAGTATTTCCATTTTTGTAGGCATTTTTCTGCGTGTTATAGGAACAATATATATCTTATGTACATCATCTCGATTGTTTATAGTACAGGCAAATATTTCCAGTGAGAGGAAATATAATTGAGGTTTATAGATGAGACAGTGTACACCCTTTCTATGTAAACAAGCCATTTTTCTAAATTATTTGAAAAGGATGATTGGATTTCCCACTGTTAACTTTGAACACCAACTCACTAGCAACCTAAGGTAGACTCTAAAATCCAAGCATGATGTATCAGTAGTTTAGGCTCTATTCTTTTCCCAGCTTATTATTTTTACAGTGGGAGACCTTTTTTTTATGTCTGCCTTTATATTTTGAAGTGTGACTATAATTAGGCTAACATTACATTTATTTATAGTGAGCTTTTCATAAAGAAGAGAACTAACTTTCTGTATAAATGAGCATCAGGTATGGAGCTAACGACTTCAGTGCAATATCTCCTGTTACTCAGAAGGAAATGTTTCTATTTTGGACAACATAAATATTTGAGCTCATATTTTTATAATCCTGATTGAAAACTTAGGGGCCTGGTAATTTTTACCCAAACGGAATCTGATCAACTTAAGCCAGTAAATTTGGGTCCTTTGGCTGCCAGGAGAAGAAAGAAGGTGCTTAGGAAACCGTCGGTACGCTGGAAGCCAGGAAGCTTCCCCAAAAGGTGTGCTTAGTGCATTGAATAAAAGGAGGGGTCCCACATTTTGGGTCTACTACCCTATTAATTTTTTTTTTTTTTGTGTGTGTGTGTGTAGCTTATAAAGAATTTGAAAATACTCTATTTGTGTTTTGTTATTTTTTGTTTGTTTGATGACAGCTCTATGCTAAATGTATTTTAAAATAAAAGCCAAATTCCAGATTGAAAGGACCTCCGTTTGTTTGCCTCTTGTGTACTTGTCTTTTTGGGGTTGCTGAGGGGAGTTGGTTTGAGACAGGGTTTCTCTGTGTAGCCCTGGCTGTCCTGAAACTCTGTAGGCCAGACTGGCCTAGAACTCACAGAGCTCCACCTGCCTCTGCCTCCTGAGTGCTGGGATTAAAGTTGTGTACCACCATGCCTACTATTGAGTGTCTGTATTAACTGGTGAGATTTTAAATAATATTTCTAGGTTTTCATCCTAGCAGTCTTTCCCCTAAAGGATTTTTTTTTGTCAAAAATCAATGAATTCTATTGTTTTTAGCAATAAATGACACTGAAGAAATTCTTAAGAATCAAGCTTTCCCTTAAATTTATTATCCATTGTGCTTTTGAGGCAATCTCGTGTATCCCAGGCTAGCCTTGAACTGCTTCTTAACTTCCCAAGCGCTGGAACCACAGGCTTGTATGCCACCACACTTGATTTTGCTATGCCTTATTAAGCTTGCTGAAACTACAAATCTTACAAGAAAACATTACCTCCTTTTGAAAAACAGAGTAAAAAACTTCAAAGAATAGAAGATCTTCAAAAATGCTTGAGAAAGTAAACATTAATTTCATAGTTTCAGGTGAGCTAGTTCATCCTCGTCGGCTTGCCCCTGCCTCCTCCAGACACAGAATTCTGCATCCAGCAGCAACAAGCTGAGAGTAACATCAATGTGTCCTATGACTGAGAGCCGAGCATCCTATGCCCAGCTTCACGGTTCTGTGGCTTACAGCTCCCAGCAGGCTATTGGACAACAGCTATCTCCTTCACTTGTTCAGTCTTGGTGCATTTTTCACAGATGTTTAGAAATCCTATCCCTGGTTACAACAAGGGACAAACATGACAGAGAATCTGTTTATTCTCTAAGGTACCTCTTCAATTTTCTTTATGAAATGATTTTAAGTTAGTTTTATAGCTTTTCCACCTCATTTATTTGTTTATTTTGAGACAAGGTCTCTCAGCCCTGGCTATCTTGCAACTCATTTATGTAGACCAGCCTGGACTGAACTCACAGATCATTCTGCCTCTGCTTCCTGAGTGCTGGAATTGAAGGCATGTGCCCCACACCCAGCTATTTGTCTTTTTTTTTTTTTGGTTTTTTGAGATAGGGTTTCTCTGTGGCTTTGGAGGCTGGCCTGGAACTAGCTCTTGTAGACCAGGCTGGTCTCGAACTCACAGAGATCTGCCTGCCTCTGCCTCCCGAGTGCTGGGACTAAAGGTGTGTGCTGCCGCCACTACCACCTGGCTCAGTTATTTGTCTTTTTTATTATTTGCCTAGTGCCTGTGGAGGCCAGAAGAAAGTGTGAGATCCCCTACTGGAGTTACAGGTGGTTGTGAGCTGCTCTGGGGGTGCTGGAAATTCCAGTCTTCTGCAAAAGCAGAAGTGCACTTAACTACTGAGTCATTTTTCTAACTAAAATGTGTTAATTACCTTTTAAAATTTAGTATGTTCCCTGGATGATTGTGATAGCCCTTGCTGGCAATCCTAGCAGCCAGGAAGTGAAGGCAGGAGAATTAGGAACTTAAATTCTTGACTATATAACAAGTGGGAAGGCCAGCCTGGGCTACATAAAACCCCATCTCAAAAAATAGGGTTGTGTACAAGGTCATTGGGAGACCATTTGCCTATCATGCATTAAGTCCTGGGGTTGAATCCCAATATTTAAAAAATAAACCAAATGTAAACCATTATCTTTTTTTCTGATGTCAACTCCGTGGGGGGGGGGGGTACTTGTTTAATGGGAGATGCCGTTCTGTAAATATGTTTCTTGTGGAAACACTTAGATTGATAGAATGAGTTAATATTTAAGACAGAGCTAGCCAGTAAGAAACACTAGTAACAGGCCAACAGTTTCATAACTAATACAGTGTCTCTGTGTGTTATTTGGGGCTGACGTGGCTGTGGGACCAGGCTGGCAGGAAACTGCTTCTGACATTTGTTCATCTATTTCTGCCATAGCTTGAATACAGCAGACATTCAATAGATATACTGTGTTCAATAGATTGATTATGCAGTCCCTAGACAAGCTTTAGTAAGTGTGTGTGTGTGTGTGTGTGTGTGTGTGTGTGTGTGTGTGTTAGTGAAGGACATTTGCAGCATTCTGCAGATTCTCAAAAGATTTGATAAAAGTTTAAAATTAAATTATTCTTTGTTTTTTACTGTCTCTGCCTCCAGGGTGCTGTGATTAAAGGCATGCACCACCATGCCCAGCAATTCTTTTGTAATGTGTGTATATACATACATACATACATATGTTAGTGATGCCTGCATGTCTATTTATATGTACCATGAGTCCCCAGTGCCCAGAGAGGCATAAATTTGGCATCAGATGCCCTGGACTGGAGCTCTATATTTCTGTTGTAGATCATTTCATATGCACAAGTGATATTCATGGTATTTGTGCTTCAGTCAGCAAACGCCCTTCCCAACTAGACTCTTTTTGTCTCCCTCCAGGAGTCAGATGAACCAGATGTGTGGCTGGTTTTTATTTCAATGCATGGAGGAAGTTCCATGGTAGCAGCATAAGAAATAAACTTGAACTTCCTTTCCAGGGCATGGCAGCAAATCCCAGAGGGAACCTCTCCAGAGCACAGGAACTTGTAGCTGGTATGCAAAGGTCCTTGACCTCTTGACAAAATTCCTCACCCTCTCTGGGTAGGTTCATGGATGTATCCCTGAACTGCTATCCTGTCTTCTAGGAGTTTGGGAGGTGGCAGTGTTGGAGCATCTCCTCACCCCTTGGGGCTCTTCTAGGTAACTGGAGTTACTACAGCAGCCATGGTATATCACCCAAATCCATAACTAATATAAAAAAATTAGAAAAAATAATACCTGAAATGTATATTTTCTCTTATTACAGATTTAAAAAACAGAAAAATACTTAAATGTTCATCAAATAATAGTTTTTATTGCCTTCAAATTGGTGTGATTTCATCCAAGAACTAAAATGACTTGACTAAGTACTTTTTAAAATCAATATTCTAAGACAGGCCCAGTGTGATGGTGCATGCCTTGCCTTTAATCCCAGCACTTTGAAGACACAGGGCAGAACTAAGTTCAAGATCAGCTTGGGCTAAATATTGAGTTCTCAGCCAGCCTGGGCAACAGGGAGATCATGTCTCTAGGGATAAATAAACAGGATATCAAATGTGGTTACATGTGAATACTCTAAAGGAGGTTTTATAAGCTAAGACCCCAAATATCCCTAAAATACTTCACTCTATAATTGCCCAGCATTTTAAGAAGTGAAAATAATTTTTAGGAAAATAGGTTCCATATAAATGCTCTATTTTTAGCCAGACCTGGTTGTGCATGCCTTTAATCTCAGCACTCAGGAGGCAGAGGCAGGAGAATCTCTGAGTTCCAGGCCAGCCTGGTCAACAGGGTTAGTTCCAGGATAACCAGGATTACACAGAGATACTTTGTCTCTAACAACAACCAAACAAACTCCTTGAAATGTCATCTGGATGTCCCTGAGGCAGTCTTTAGAAAGATTTCCTTTAATATCCAGTTAGTGACTTAATACCCCTACCCCTTAAAAAATACCCCAAACCAAAACCCAACAACAAAACAGCCCTTGAATAACATGTTTCAAGTGAGCAATATCAAAGGGCCTTTGTGTTGTTTTTAACTAAGGTATTCTATTTACCAATAAAGACTCAGGAGTTAGATGTTGGGGCGAAAAGCTGCTAGATCAGAGAAGCCGAGAAGCAACCAGCTGACTTTCTATTTTGGCCAGAGATCCACACCAAAAAGAACATAGGTCTGTAAGTCCCTCCCTACTTCCTTCCCATGTGTCTCTTCTGTATTCCTGTCTCCTCCGTCCTCTCTATGGCTAATTCCTGTCAACCAGTTGTTGGCTCTGACCCCTGACCCAAGGTTTATTTTATTAACACAGTCTCAAGTTTCACAGTGCAAATATCTCTCAACATTGTTGTTTCCACGTCTTTTTAATTTATTTAATGTTATTTGGCAACATAGGATGGAGAGATGACTCAGAGGTTAAGAGTACTGACTGCTCTTCCACAAGACCAAGGGCAGCACCCACATGATAGCTCCCAACCATCTGTAGCTCCCGTTGCAGGACACCTGATGTCCTCTTCTGGCCTCTGTGGGCACTACATACTTGAGGTGTACAAATAGATGTTTGAGCAGTTCGAGGCCAGCCTGGTCTACAGAGCTAGTTCCAGGACAGGCTCCAACGCTACAGAGAAGCCCTGCCTTTCAAAATATGAAAAAAAACAAAACAAAACAAAAACCAAAAACAAAACAAAAAAACAAGTTTCTCTTCCCTCCCTCCTTTCCTCCAGGACTGACATTTGAAAGCCTCAAATCCGTTAACCATCTGAGCATGAGAAAGCTCAGAATTTAACATCTGCATTGGGGTTAGGCCAGGCTAAGATAAAGATCATGAATAACCAGTTTTTCAAGAGATAAAAGGAGGAAACCTGTGATGATTAATCTTATCAACCTGGTGGTGTTTAGGAGCATCATGGAAACATTCCTCTGGGTACGGCTGAGAATATTTCAAGAAATATTTAACTGATAAACAAAGACCCATCCTAAATATGGGTGGAGTCATCCCCATGGGTTGAGGTCCTGGAAAGAATGAGAAAGAAAAAGCCAGCTGAGCACCACAATTCACTCTTCTGCTTCCACAATTCACTCTTCTGACTGTGTTAAGCAAGCTGCAGTATCCTCCCCCATGCTCTCCTGCAGTGCCCTCCCCCATGCTCCCCTGCAGTGCCCTCCCCCATGCTCTCCTGCAGTGCCCTCCCCCATGCTCCCCTGCAGTGCCCTCCCCCATGCTCCCCTGCAGTGCCCTCCCCATGCTCTCCTGCAGTGCCCTCCCCCATGCTCCCGCAGTGGGCCCTCCCCATGCTCTCCTGCAGTGCCCCCCCCCATGCTCCCCGGTGCCCTCCCCATGCTCTCCTGCAGTGCCCTCCCCCATGCTCCCCTGCAGTG